CCTTCAAGTGTATGTGTCCTTTAGAAGAGATTGAAGTGAGAGAATTAAAATATGAGAACTAGGAACAAAAAATATTTGAAAATATAGAAATTTTATTAGGGTAACAAATCAACATATGCAGAGCCAGATCACTAATGAACTTTTTATTCTCTAACAAACTGCATTTGTAAATAAGCATATTTAACTGCAGATTTGCCTTACAACAAGAAGAGGAGAAGAATAGAAATGTTGATCAGTTTTATGAAAAAATTAAAGAACAGTTAAGGAAAAAAAGAACAATATTATCAAGAAGTTGAAGCAAAACAGCAACTTGAAATTTCTCTTTGAACACTAGATATTGAACTGAAGACTGTAAGAAATAAATTGAATCAGGTAAATTAATCTTTGATAAGTTTCATATTTCATCATCGATATTATAGTATTTCTTTGATTTAACATATAGACATGTGTTGCTTAACATTAGGGATACGATCCAAGACATGTATTGTTTGGCAATTTCATTATTATGCAAACATCATAAGTGTATGATCATGTCCACTTACAGCATCTGTCACATCACTGAGCAATGTAATAATGTAATCTTTAGGGCCGTAGTCGAGTGTACCATCCATTGTTGAACAAAGTGTGGTTATACACCATATTACTATATTATTAGGTTGCTGGGATTAAGGGTGCCTCGCCGTGGTTTGGCGTGCTATCCATCCTAAGGATGGGTAGCTTGCATAGAATATAAGAGACAGAAAGAGGGCTGTTGTCATTGCTTGTTCCTTTGTTCTTTTTCGCTACTTCACTACTTGTTGCCTTACTGCCATCTGCCTGCCACAAACTGTTTCTTCTCTAGAATTCTCTCTTCAGGTTACCTTGCATTGGAGCCAGCTAGCTGTTAACTGAAACCTCTACAAACTGTGAGCTAAAATAAACTTTTTTTCTATTTTTGAGTGTTGAGTATTTTGTCTTGGCAATGAGAAAATTAGCTAATATCCAAAGGAAATGAAACCCAGTAAGTCAAAATTATATTTGCACTACCATGATTAATGATCTACTGTTCCTAATAGCAAAAAAAAAAAAAAAAAAGAGGAAACAAGTATATGAGACCAACAACTGATCAGTCAATAAAGAAAATGTGGTATATATACAAGGAGAGAAAAGCTGGTTGAGATCCCTTTGTTCCTAATTAGCAAAGCACAAATGCAGATCATTTCTCTGTTATCTGTTCTGTCTAGAGAGGTGTGGTCGAGTAGTGAAGCAGC